GCAGCAATGGGACATTGGGGAGGGGGATGGCGTGGGTTGGGGGGAAACAACGCAAGGTAGCCGTCAGCGAATAGCGTGCAATGCGCACCTTCAACGGTCGTCGAAAGTGGCCTCAGAGTTGGGAGGAACGGGGCTCTGTGAGCAGGGGCACAGGGAGCGGGGGACTGTGGCGCGGCCGGGACGGCCCAGGAGAAGGTTTAAGTGGCTGAGGGCATCCGCAATACAACTGCGCTGTGGTGCGCAGTCCGCAATACTGACTGTACTGTCATGCATCATCACATGATGGGAAGCTTGTGGAATGGGAAGCACGGCATCGCTTCGCCCTGGCCTCAATCACTTGGGCAGCCGTGGATAGGGTTTCCATCTGCGCACCCAACTGTACTTCAAAAATGTCTCACTAACGCAAACAAGATACGGCACTGCGCTCAGTTTGGGACCTTGTGTGGCTGTAGCTCACGACTACACAACATGCCACACATGTTTCCAAGCATTTTCCACACCCTGATGCAATTCCACGGATCCGAAGATTGCCGACTGGGCAGCCGGCATATTTACAATGCGCAATACTCTTCGTCCCTCGTCCAATTGAACCGTGATGTACACGTGCACGGAATATATCGTTCGTCTTTATGGTCTAAAAGACAGTAAGGTACACGGCCCTGAAACAGTAACCGTCCTCCAAACGATGCCCACAGACCCCAACCAGAAAACGACGGTGGATGATTGCCAAGGAAACATTTGGCCATACCACACAGGCCATGTTTCAATTCCAACGCTGCCAACTCTCCAGGGGCATCAATCATGTACGACATGTGTCGCCAACGGGGGCTCAATTCTGCACTGAGCCTTTGGGCAGCGGTGACCCAGGGGGTACGGGAGGCATTCACAACTGGTCACGCTAGGAAGGACATGTCTGTCACACACGAACCGAACCCGCCTTACAGACGGAGCGAGTGGTATTCATAGCTTGATGATGTGACAGCTCATGAGCTGCTGTATCCAGAATCCCCATTCTGGCCACTTTCACGAGCTGGCCTGGTTCGTGTTCATTCCCCAAGTCAACTTCCTATTCCGGCCGCCCATACCAACTATGCACCATTGCCAACTAGCCCACCAGCTACCCCCGTACGCCACCCACTCCCACTCTCCCTCACTCCCACACTTCCTCAGCTCCTATTCCCGCCACCATCCCCAGCTATAACCAATCCCAAAGCCGTCCCCATTCGTTCACTACAGCCAATTCCCCTTAATTGGCTCCCGTATCGTACATACTGCATCCCTTCCCACACATGTGTTGCCGTCCACCATCGCCCATGAAAGAATCGCCGCAACAGGCAAGAATTCCCCCCACATAGCGTGCAAGCTGCTGGCAGTGTAAGCCATTGATGGTCGTCGATGAAACGTGTCGGTCTGCGCATTGATCAAGCATGTTGTCAAAACTTTGCCAGATTCTTATAATACATGCACCGAGTAGTATACATACCATGTAGGAAATATACCATGCTTCCTGTACGGGATCCTGTACGGGATTGGGCGCCTGGTGCTCTGCACAAGTTGACACGAAGCATTGTGGAAGCACTGGTGACGATTGTCAAGAAGGCGAATGACAACAATGGCCATTGGAAACACTGTAGCTGCATTCGGGACGAATATGACCACCAAACGGGGATCAGAGATTGCCCCCAAATTCCAAAAAGTTCCAAAACACATTGATTGTGGCATTCACTATGGGATATCCTGTGTTGCCACACAATATGACAGACATGGAATACTGGTCCTATCTATTTGTAATGGATCCTGAACGGCCATCCGTCCCATATGCCCTCCAGGCCCACCAGCAGAATGGCCACGAAGTTGACGAGGGTGAGCATGATGAGCCCGGCTGCTGCTGCTTCCGTGGCTTGCTCGTGGTCCTCCAGGTTGCTGCATTTGTTCCCACCGTTGCTAAAATTGAGGAATGAAATGCACTAGTAAAAAGCAGGCCAGATGACACAGTCCTGACACGGTCTGCTCAAAATCCAACCGTGTACTTTCGGCAAATGTGGTCCCAAAAGTACACAGTTGGATTTTGAGCAGACCGTGTCAGGACTGTGTCATCTGGCCTGTTTTTTCCTAGTGATGTTGGATAAGAATGCGTGTTCAAGGGAAAGGAGCATGAAGAGCACCCACTCCCAATTTGCATTGACAAAAGAAGAAGCAAGAAAGGCGAAAGAACAATGAGATGCAGTGGAGACCAAAGTGCTCCTGCTGCACATCGCCACTGTCTCACCACTCTCCTCGAGCCTCCCCCCGCCCTGTTCCCTTCCAGAAAGCATATCATTCCAATGACTGATTGTCTACAAGGATAGCAACCGTGAGATATTGTTAATTATTAGTTATTAACAAGTAACAGCTATCCATTGCCAGGCTTTTCCCGGCTTTAAATTTCACATTAGCTGCTACATAACTACCAACCAGTGTATTAACCAACACCAATTAAGAGCCGCGGGACAAAATAATGGTCTGGGAGCCAGGCCGCCTCCCAAGCGCAATTACCATCGGCAAAAGGCAACATTTCTGCGATGCTAACTGGGACGCCATTTCGACACTAAGTGATGTAATGACGGTCAATTGAGATGGCAACAACGTAGTTGTGATGGGTCAATCATGATTCATGCTGATCAGCGTGACATGACATTGCTGCCATTAATTAACCCGGCCCCTTACTGGAATTATATTTCGCGTGACTCAACCACAGTACTGCGTAAAGCACTGTGGTGGGGCGTTCGCGCCTCTGGGCCGACCCAAACCCGTGGGAAATAGCGACGCGCGAGTGCCTGGCCGCGCCCTCGCGGGTGAGGGGTTGCGGCGGCAAGCCGAGGACTTTGTCATGCGGGATTGAGCTGGGACGCCTTGCGGCGATCAAAACGCACGCGGACGCGGAGCGGCGTGCTGGAGCTTCGGCGGGGCTGGCATTTTGCTAGTCGGCCCGTTCGGTACGGTCCCAGAAGTGTATAACGGCAGGGTAGGCTGTGGCCGCACAGCCGCCTGTTTCAGTCGCGCCCAGTGTGTCCCACAGCCGCTACTCAGCAATGGCTTGGGCTAACATGCGACAAGCTGTGGGTGCTCCGATTGGCCAGCTCTGGAAAAGATGGTGAAGAAGATCGGCGAGCGCCTCAGCTCGAGTCGCTGGACCTGCCGGTGGTTCTCAGGTTTGACTTATGCGAACCAGGTTCAGTGGCCAATTTGCTGCAGAAGAGTAGGCTGTGGCCGGACAGCTGCTTGCTTCAGTCGCGCCCAGTGTGTTCCAGGGCCGCTAGGCGCCAATGATTTGGGCTAGCACGCGACAAGCTGTGGCTTTTCCGATTGAGTCGCTGGACCTGCCGGGACCGCTGTTTGACCTATGCGGACCAAGTCAAATGGCCCACTTGGCTGTAGCAACGTTGCTGCGCAGCAACGGGCACGCCCGCCCAAGCCACGGTTCTTCTGCTCTATAAGATTCGCGAGCGGCTTTGCAAAGTCACCCATCCGCCCCTCGGTTATCGCACTCGCCGGGGTTGGCGACTCCCAGTGAGAGCCAGCAAGACCCCTGAATCGTTGGTTTCTGCTGTGGGTATTCGGTGTCAGTCTGGCTGTCTAGATCGAACGAAACCGGACAAGGTTGGCCAGCGCTTCGCCTGGACTCGCTGGTCCTGCCGGCGGTTGTCAATTTGGATCAATGCGAACCACGCCAATTGGGCCACCTGGCTGTAGCAACGATGCTGCCTGCTGAAGCCGCAGTTCTTCCGCTTGACAAGATCCGCGAGCGGCTTAGCGAGGTCACCCAGCCGCCTTCCGGTTATTGCACTCGCCGGCGCCGGCAATCGCCAGTGAGCGCCAGCAATCACCCAGGAGGGTGCGCTTGTGTTGTCGGTATGAGGTGGACGACGGTGACGCCTACCCTGCTCGCGCTCGCGCCTATCCTGCTGCTCGCCACGCACCCACCGCCGGCGGGCCGTCCGCTGGATAATTTTGGATTGGCGTCCTCCTAAAGTGCCTCGATTGGCCCCCACGACTGGCGGGATCTGGCGTCCGCGAGGCGCCACCTTTTTGCCAAGGAAACGGCGCCTTGCAGGCGCCCATTCCGGCCACCCGCAGGGGTCTCGATTGGCCTCCACGGCCGGCGGCATCTGGCGCCCGTGAGGCGCCACTTTTCGCCCACAAAACGGCGCCTTCTGGGTGCATAATCCCGCCACCCGCGAGGGCCTCGATTAGCCCCCGCGGCTGGCGAGATCGGGCGCCCACAAGGCGGCATCCCTTTGCCCACTCCAATCACCCGGGGGCCCTCTGTGTGGCAAGGCAACAGGGCGGGGGGGCGGGGCATGGGCGGGGTGCGGCCAGCCGGAGCTGTTGGGAGGGAAGGGGCAGCTGGGTGGAGGCTGGGTGAGTCAGCCGTGGTGGTCATGAATGGTGGTCATCCAGGACATGTTTTGTCAACTCAGGTTCTCATGCTTTGATCAACACATCGTGCTTAACTAGGCGGCACCCATGGCATGTGGCGCAATCATATAATATCTCGTCATATGCATGACACAATGCGCACATCACAACATTCCTAAATGTTGGATTCTGGTTGCAATAAAACAGAACACCAAGTGGAACACCTAATGCAGCTCTCAAGATATATTATTGTTGTCCAGTTGTGCAACACTTCCGATGAACTTGTCAACAACCGTGCTTGGCAATTGCTTCTCAAATCCCACAAACCGCAAATGTCCATCACCGCAGATTCACCAAACATTGGGCCGGGTTACCCCATAGGAGCACCATGCGTGCAATGCGCAAGGCTCCGACTTGTAAACACAATAATGCCATTCTCTTTCCGGTGCGCCGTCTGTGCGCGGCTGGCCGCGTTCTCGGATGCCCACACGCCCTGCACCTCCTGCAAGCTGCAGTGGGGCAGCCTTGACTTTCCACGCCAATTCCGTAGAAAGGAACCCCGCGGTTAGCTGGCGGACAAGGTGTGGAGTCTCACCTCGGGCTCAGGCAGTGATGGACTCCACGGCTATGGGCGCGTCGGGCGGCTGTGTGGACCCGGGCGGCGGCTTGCCCCCCGTGGGCGTGGGCTGGGGGGCGGCCTGCTGTGGGACCCCCCTGTTGAAGGGCGTCGAAAAATGGATCCTGAACGGGCATCCGTCCCATATGCCCTCCAGGCCAACCAGCAGAATGGCCACGAAGTTGACGAGAGTGAGGATGATGAACCCGGCCGCTGCTGCTTCCGCGGCTTCCTCGTGGTCCTCCAGGATGGTGGTGCCCTCCGCCAGGGCCTGCTCCACGGTGCTGTCGACCTCCCGGATGTCGCGAAGCCGCAGGAAAACTTCCGCGCAGTCCGTCATCTCCACCAGCGCGATGGCAAGGAAGACCAGGAGCACCAGGCGGGCCCTGGACACCCACTTGGCCGCTGCCAGGCCCCCCAGGGCGCCCATCACGAACAGCTGGAAGAAGAGGGCCCACCAGTGCGGCCGGAAGAGGTTCTCGCAGCTGACCTCCGCCCGCTCGCTCTCGCAGTCGCTCGCCAGCTTGCTCAGCCCTCCCAGCGCCACGAACCAGCCCGCAAAGGTCAGGGCCGCCACGACGATTGCAGCCAGCGTCTGCGGGCCGAAGGCCGTCACTGCGGGCGGCATGCTGCCCTCTGGCGGGGAGGAACGGGTGGGCGCGGTGGCTGGTGGGGCCGGTCGCCCAGGCGGGCTGTCGCGGAACGCGTGAGAGGGTGGATTGGAAGGATGCCGCGTGGGGATCGCTGGGGTTGGGTGTCCGGAGGCAGGGGCCGGCAGGGGGCGGAGGGGTGCAGCTCGTCGTCTTGTAGTGCAGAGGTCCTTCCGCGTTTGGGTGCGATCCCGCGCTGATTTAGGACGAATTAGCGGGATGTGTGTTCCAAGCGAGTTCCAGGCGGGCGGCCGCACCTTCCAACCAGCTGTCGCTTGCAGAAGACATCATTTTGGCGACGGCCACTGCGATGCCATTTTCACGCCAAGCAGCCTTGCTACGTGGAAACAAGTCATGATGGCGCCATCACGGTGATTGAAATGGCGTCAAAGCAGCGTTCTTGGCATCAATTACTGTCAGATGGCATTGCAAAAACTGGTGTTTTGTACTGGTGCGTATTCTCCTTTTTCCCGTCCCAGTGCTCCCACTGCCCAAACGAGTCCGCCTGCGACCCAGCGATTTTAGAGGAGCCCAGCCGACCCAACACTTACATTAAATGCAATTCAGGTTCTTCTTGTCTAGTTTCAATTTAGTGAATCTCAAGGACTTTGAGCCCACATGAATGTGGGCTTGAGCAACTCTATCGCGTGACCACAAGCTGAGTCCCAGTTCTAATGCAAGACACAATGTCCCAAGCAAATCTCCAATAATCGGACGCTCAACTGCATAACCGCAGGGTTGGTGGCATTGACGCATGGGTCCGTTTTTCTGTGAAGTATTGTCTCAGTTTTTTTAAGGGCAAACACAAAATGCAAGGAAACGGATCAGTACAAACACAGCGGAGTGGGCAAATAGAAGCATACAACAAGACGACAATCTGAAAACTGATCCCCTGTATGGGTCCAGTGTGGTGCACCCATGCTTCGTGAAAATGGAAGGACAGAGAGACAGCCTCATTGCCTTCTGCACTTACTGTAACAATTTATTGGAAACCTGGTATATACCATATATACCTATATACATTTCGATACACCTATAGGTGTCGAAGTATAAAGTCTTTGAACCAATTGTCGAAGAGGCGCCGTCCAAGCCAAGTCTACCCAGAAACGAGCGCTGCATCGCAGTTGGTGGCCGCAGAGATGTAGGGCATGCATATGCAGATTTCCATGGACCACTCAAGGCACAGCTGCATGGTGCGTTTTTCTGGCTTTCAAAACAAGGACTTTGCTTTGGCATTTACGAGCATCGCTTCGATCAGTTTAAACGTCGCAAGTGAGACACTTGGAAAACTCTCTTTTGATGACCATCAAGTGTCCATTACCTGTAACTAAGAAAATTAGTTGGTTACCATCAAAGGGAGCTTATGGACGAAAATTAAACTTTGATCCAGAAATGCCTATTTGGGAAGTTAAACGATTGAATGATTGAGCCCCCGGTAAGTACGTGGAATGGCAAGGCTTCCGCTTTGTGGTCAGCAAAGTTCGCCTGTTCTATGTTACTCAATTGCAGATCAACATTTTTTAGGATTCCTCGAGGATCTGCGCAGCACGGCAAATCTGTGGCGACGGAAAAAGGTAATCTTGTTGGCAAAACGTTGCCGAATACATGTGAGGCTATTAAAGGCTACGGGATAACGCATGCATGCCGCTCTTAACTTTCATGTCCAAGACACTGTGATTGCAATTATGGAAATGCCTTCTGCGAGGAAAACCATGGCTCGAGATTCACGCCCAATATATGCGGGTCGCCGATACGACCATGTCCACCTCCTGAGGAGCATTTCAAGCAAAACCTCTGCCGGGGACAGAATGCCGTGGACTGTTGCCTGCTCTCCACCTCAGTCTGTCCTCGGTCAAAGGCTTTGAGCACAACGACTCTTCGCTCCGCGTTCCAGGGGACACAACTAGCGACTCGCGATGCCAAAGCTCATGCCCAGAGCGGACCGGCATGTGGTGCGATCACCACAATGTGGTGATGCCATGGCAGTGTCCGTGGCTGCGGTGATGGGTGCTGTGGGGAAGGGTTTCGGCAAGTGGAGTGCACAAGAATTTCGCCTTCCTTTGTTCAACTAGGGAGCAAGGAACAGATAGGGCGCGAAGGTGGCTAGCAATTCTGGACTGCAAATCCCGCTAGATGTAATAGTCGCACGACGGAAATGTACGAGGGGAGTGACCGTCCGTGGAAGAGACAATATTGCGTTCAGTCTGCGGAATTTTTCTTGCCAGCATTTTTTCTGTGAAATAAGCGAAATCGAACATTTTTCGGTACAGAATATTCTTTGGTACACAGACACATCAAACCTTGTCACGCCGTTGATGGCCGTCCGGCTTTCCATGCTGGCAGCCCTGTGGGCTCACTGCCTGTGGAAGTCCGTTGGCTCAATTGTCACTTTTGCATTCGATCACCATTCTCGCTTTATTACTTTGGCATCATCCACCTTTTTCGTATGCAATTCAGCCGAAAGCTGCAGAGCATGCGCTCGAAGAATTCCAAAGCAGAACAGAAAACGTGTGACTGGTGATTCCTGCATTCGTGCACAGCGCTTGTCCATACTCCGCCAGTTAGGGGACAGCCACAGAATGATAGGTACTTAGTTGGCAAGTAACTCGAAGAAAGAGAACTTTGCCAATCCTGTTGGCAGGTCGCCAAGGCTCAGAGACAAAAGGTGAAAACAAAACAACATCCAGACTGGGAAATGTACCCATGCTTTCTGGATCCAGGTCCAATAAATTGTGCACAAGATGATTTGGTCCATCCCTCCCAAATAGAACGGTTGCAGCACTTAACAATAAAAAATATGCCTTGACGTTGGCCGAGTATTCAATCCACAAATTTGGCTCATGGTGCCACTCACTGTTCATTATATCCGTTCTCTTCATTTGAAAGCAATCCTTCCAACAACGGTTTGCCAATGAGATTTATCAAATTCAGTGTATATAGTAAATGCGGTGTATAAGCTCGCTGGTAATTCCAACGCGCTCCCTCAAAATCATCCACTCCTTCAGCCACTAGCCATGGCATGTGGATGCTTGAGCATGCCGATTGTTGAATTCGATGCCGATGTCCAGCGCCCATTGATAGGACCAACGGGCTTCCTCGAAATCTCTCAACGCCCGGGCCACCCTCCCCAACTGGTGGTATGTGCGCGCTTGGGAATAACGATTGCTGAAAATTTTTCACATTCACTCCCACCATAACAAAACGTTGAAAATCGCATATTGCCTACTAACCGCTTCCTCTCCCTCACATGCCTCCCTGTGCCACATACCCGCACCAGATAACTCACCCCTTTTCAAACTGCATCATGATATGACCACAACATATCCGTGCTCCTAACCCACACCTTCCCCTCTGGCCCCCAAACTTCCCAAATGGTATTTATTATGGTAAGAATCAATTGCTTCGGACACTTCCACCATGGCTCGAGCTTTTCCTTGAATGTTTCGACTTCTGTATTCCATACCCTAACATAAACATCTATTGGATGTGCTGGTTGCTTGTTCTCTGGCTTGCTTCATGCATTGTTGGTGAGTGCTGTGGCCCGTCGGCAGCTTCTGGTTTCCGGAGGCTCTGGGGTCGCCCTGCCCTACAGCACAGCTGTTGGAGGTCGGCTGGCCTCTCCACCTTGGACGATGGGCATAATCGGGGCAGTCGATTCTGTGGTCACGCGGTGGGCCCACTGCTCGTCGGGGATCGATCCCTGGGCCTGTTGTCAGAGAGAGGTGGCGGCGCAGCGTTGTGGTGGTTCACTGGCTCACGGGAGGCCAGAGAGTGGGTCAAAAGTGTTACACAGATTCACAACATGCGTGCGCACATATCGTATGCGCGATGCCCGATCGCAGGTCCATTGCAGTCACATCATGACAGGACAACACGAGAGCGCATCCAGACATATTGTCACCGTCCACCGTTCACCTACGATCAACCAATTGTCCTCTAGTTCCAAGCATCTAACACCCGACCCCCTGCCCCTAATGTAAGGGCTGGGCCCTGGAGCACTGTACATTACGGCCACGGAATATTGTATAATATAGGCGCTGGACATTGTATACTAAGAGCTCTTTAGGAATGCTATATAATAGAGTATATTAAGGGCGACTGAGCTGGGTGATGGTGAAAGGGACAAAGGGAGTGAGTGCCATATTGGTTAATACGGTGAAGGGTGGCGCTAGTGACCTGTGGGTCGGTGAGATAAACGGTCCGGGAACAGGAATTCAAATTACAAACTGGGCAGGCATGCCAGAATTTGGGTGACTCACTCAATTTCGGCATGACCCTTGGACTGCCTTGGACATGGGATATATAAATGGGAACACTGGGACACTTCTATAATACAAAAGTTGCCACAAAGCTCATTTCTGACCGAAACCTGATTCGAACAAGTAAACGGGCCAAGTCCCGTTCGGCCAAAAAGGGCCACTGGCCTTACAGTGGTTTCGGAGCCAGCAAAGCTGCCGACGCTGAAGCGGCACTTCGAGACGACCTCACCCATGGCCAGGAGGCGGCGGACCCCCAAGGAATGGGACGGGAGCGTGCAACCCATAATTCGAGCAGCGGGACATTATGAAAACGTCAACTGCATGTGGAGCTCCAAGGAGCAGAGTTTGAAGACCGCTGGATGCCAGGAGGAGCGTCAACAGTGTGGCCAGCCCCGAGGGCGAGAATTGCAGGGCGTCCGAAGATGTGAGCTGCGCGGCCTGCCCCGAGGGCGAACCTGAAGAAGGGAAGTGTTGGGTGTCGGAAAACACCGGCTGGGAAGTTGCCCCGAGGGTGTTGAAGGGTTGGACGTCTGGAAGACGTCAGCCAAGTGGCCAGCCTTGAGGGTGGGCCAGTAGAGGGACTGGACGTCGGGGACGTCAGGAGAGCAAGGACGTCAGGGAGACATCAACCAGAAATTAAGCCAAAAGAGAGTCGAGACAACATGAGCCAAGCTGGGAGCGTACGGAGCCCGTCACCTAGCCAAGCGGGAGCTTCACCA